CCCTTTCAACTGAGGTTCAGGATTAACTCTGGTGTATTTCCCAAGCAGCCAGGCAGTCAGTGGAATGCCTGGAGTGTCTGGATCAAACTACTGTTAGTGTCTTTTCCGACTTTCAGAAGCATCTACATGGTCTGTTGAAGACCTTCTGCTTGCTTCTGTTGAAGACCTGGGTCAAACACTGGGCTGGGCAGGAGCATGATGGGTACAGGGAATTAAAAAGATTAAAAAATGTTTCTCCAGACAGGCACAAAGTCACATAAGGCAAGATCTTACAAGGAGACTGAGAGCAAATGCACCTGTGTCAGCTGAGGAATTGTGTATCACAGAGTCTCAAGGGCTCTGCGAATGCCACCAAGGGCCAAGCAAAGAAGCAAAAATCTTCAGCCTAGAACCTTCCTGTGTCTAAAGCCAAGAGTGGAAACCAAGAAAGGCTAAGTCTTCTCTCACCTTTTCCACCTGACTAGCGAGCTGGATCTCCAGTGTGTGTGAATCTCCATCTGGACATACCTGAGGAAACAAAGCAAGCATCCAGGCCTACCCATATCTCTGTGGGGTTTCAGATGAGCAGGAGAAAGAATCCTCTAGTCAGCTACATAATTTTTTTTTTGTGTTCAATCCTCTGAACTTAAGATAAGTTTGATATTGATATCCTCAAGCTGAGGGCTTGTCTTTACTGTAAGACGAGTGTACAATTTAGAAATAGCTGTTTCTGCAGCACATCTGAGTGATTTATTCATTTAGTTCATTAGGCCAGACATAAATAAAAGATGTGGGTGTCAGTCCCCTACATGGAGCTTTAATTTGCCTGCTACATGTCTGGTGGAGGTCACTGTCACTTACCACCTCTGCACTTGGCGTGACAAATGTCCTCCCACACTCCAAGTGCTGCCACTGCAGACAGCAGCAACTGCAGCGAGCACAGACCGAGCCAGGAAGCCCCTAGATCTTAATTATAAAACCATAAAAGAAACCAACTGCCTCTGAAGCTCTCTTACTAGGAAACAAATGAGAATGGGAAATTTATTTCCAGCCATAAATCCCAAAGCCTTCAGTTTAATTTTTCCCAAGTTAACTTTCTCACCTAGCTAAGCAGCGCTGCCTTCTATTATTAGCTCCTGGCCCAATATCAGCTGACCACCATCAGTCAAACTGTCTTCACCTCAATGAGCTCAGGGACTCCCAAGGAACTCTGTGTATGCTGACTTGTGCTTGCAGCCTCTAATTATATTCTAACAGATAATGGAGCATTTAAACTCGGAGAGGATAGATTAAACTTGGGAGTGGATCAAAATCCTGGACACAACCACAGCTCATAGGATTGACTTCCTGAAAACATCAAGCTTAGAGGAAAGGCCCTCAGCTGACCATTTCTCCATGAAAAGTGTTTCAAGTGCATGTTTTCAGCCTCAAAGGCTGTTTGCTGTGCTCTCCAATTGCAGCATGTCTTCAGAGTTTATTACATTGTCAGCTGAGTATCTGGGTTGATGTTAAACCATCTGACCAGGCCAATGGCTACTTGATTTACCAGACAATCATAAATTGAGGCTGAGGAGGTGAGATTGTTTTCCCAAGCGAAATTTTAAGTCCCCATTCTACTACCAAGTAGCCTCTTAGCTGCACATTTGCCTTTTTTCCTCTCTACAAGATTCTCTTCCCTCCCTAAAGCTCAGGCCCATCATATATTCTGTTACCAGCCTGAGGGTAAGGAGCAGGACAGAGCTCCCTCCTGCTGGTGTCCTGCAGACACAGCAGGAGCAGGAGCACTTGCACTCTGAATTCCAACTCCAGCCCCCTTTTTGGGGACTTATTTCACAAGTGTGACCTGCCAGAGCAGAAACTATGCCCTGCAGATTAAGATTAATAATTAAGATTAACCATGCTGAGGGGGAAACCCTTTAGGAATTATCCCAGACACAGCATACACCCAGAAGTGGGAAACAGGGTGAACCCACATTTTGTGTATCACTAACAGCAACCTGTGTGTGGTGAAAATAAACCCACAGAAGGATTTCTGTGCAGTCAGGCTCTGCCCTGCTCCAGGTTACTTTGCAGATTCCAGTTTGTATTGCTGCAGCAGACACAGATCTACTGCAGTGATAAAATGTAGGGATGGACACAGGGAGCAAAGGGAAAGGGCTAGCTGGAAATGGGTGGAGAAAGCCTGGAAAATAGACTTTGCTGTGGCTCCCTCAAGAAAAATCCCAAATAAGGGCTGTGCTTTTGGATGATGGCCAATTCATCTCCTGATGGGAGGTGCTTGGCCAGAGCAGGCAAGGCTGACATCAGGCATTATATCATTATAGTCATTACTGCTCCATTAGCAGGGCTGCAGGCTGCTGAAATGACAGCCCAGGAGCCAAATTGTTTTTCTTTACTTCAGAGTTAGGTTTAGCAGGATTTCAGGAGCTCACAGAGCACTTTTAGAGTCACACTCTGCCAACATTAGAAGTTTTCAGCAGATCTATGGGCAGTGCCACTAACATCTGCCCCAGCCATTTCTGGGGACACTGAAGTGTCCCAAGCACTCCCTCTGCACACAAAAAACTGTTTGCCAAAGGCTTTCCATTTTCCATTTTCTCAAAGGAATGCTAACTTTTACTTACAAGCACAAGGACTCTCCCAATCCAGGAAGGAGTAATTGCTGACAAAAGCACGCTTGTACTTGACAAGGACAAAAAAAAAATGAAAGCCAAGGGTGTGACTCATATAATGACACCTTCCCACTAACCTCCTCTTCCCATTCACTACCAACATTGTCAGACCCCTACTGAAGAAAGAATTAACCCCACCATGTTCACAGTGGCATTCAACTACCTAGATACCTTTAAAAATCTCACCCAAGTGCTTTAAACCAACAACCATTATTCATATGTTTTGCTTTCAGATGAACATTTGAATATTTCCTCATAAAATAAGATCAGCAAACAGTATCCAGTTTTATCAGGATAGCTATACTGCCTGAAGTCTTGAAGTGAGAAGGAGTAAAACACATTTTTTTTTTTACTCTAACTTGCATTTCAGTGAAAGATATTTAGGTTATCTCCTCATAATTTAAATGTTGGCTTAAATTTTTTAAATGTTTAAAACCATGTCTGTTTTGGGACAGGGAGGAGTAGTTTCATTAAAACCATAAATAATGCTTAGGTCATTCTCTTTGAAAATGTATTGTTTCAGGAACTAAACAAGTGGTTTAGGAGATAGGGATAGCAAGGATCTCTGTGTCATTGGATGAGCAATTGTTTCACAAGAATTAAATGTAATCATTTTCATCAATGCAGTATGGAAAAGGATAACAAATCACTGCATATATATCAAAAGCAGCACTGATAGAAGGCATATTTTTTCTCCTTATTGCCACTTGTATCAACTAATGATGAAGTCTAATTAATTTTTATTATGATTAAAAACAACCTAAGGGTAATTTTTAACCTCAAGAACTGAAAACAACTTTAACTTTTCTCTCATCTCGCTACCACTGGGTCAGAGACTCAGGAGAAACTATTCATTTAAAGAAAAACCTTTCCCACTCTAACTGTACAGTCAAAAATCTCCAGAGTTCCAAAAAGCCTCTTCATTTCTGAGCCATTTATCAGATATTCTGATGCAAACACTGTGGGGAAGGATGGCCCAATGAACCAAACTGACCTAAGCTGAGCTTTGAAACCTTAGACAAACAACTTTGCCTTTTACCAAGGACCTTATGTTTTCTTTGCTTCAAGGTTAATCAGTATCAGAGGAGGAGATATTGCTGCTATTTCTCTCTCAGGTCAGGGGTCAGACCCTGATCTGGTACAAATTGCTCAGTTTCACTGACTTTCATACAGTGATAACAATTCCCTCACCTTTAGGCTGGAATCTGTATCACTGACTGACCACTGACATCCAGGTCACCGGATCCTACCTCTCCTTTTTGGGCAGCTCAATTATTAGCAAGACTCTTTTTCCATTAAGCAAAAATATCTAATACTTTTTCTCCCTTTAGAGCAGTTAAATCCTTCTAAACAGTGCCCAAACTGCCTTTTTTATTTATTATTTGAGCAAAATGATTAGTGAATTCAATGGAACCACAGAAAGAATCATCAAGGTTGGAAATGATCTGACATAAATGTGCAGTGCTCTGTAAAAAGCACAGGAAATCCCTTCCTCTACACAGCCTTCCTTCTACCACCTAAGAACTCACACATGAAGCAGCTGTCTGGAACACATAAATCCATAACTGCACATTTCTGTTCACTTCTAGGTAAAAGAATAGACTAGATAATGGGAGCAACCTTCTCCTTGTGCCTTACAGTCTCATTAATGCTAACAAATTAGGCCTATACACTCAACAGATAGGCAAGGCTTAAAAGTCACATGCAATTTTCAAGCTCACAAGAGGGGTTTAGAAAAAGACAGAGATTCATGGTGTCACTAAGCCTTGATCTTGACACAGAGCTGCAAACTGAGTGCAAAGCCTCTGTGGTCATAGAAGATTCATGGAAATTACCACCTTGACCTCTTATTCATAGTATTTCAGGTTAGTAAAGAAAAAGGGCTTTTAAATCCAGCATATTTTTATTTTCCTCCTCTACCTGTTCTGTTTTACTGCTGCTGCTGGCTCCCAGACTCTTGGAACTCCAAAGTGGGGGAGAACTGAGATGAATTTCTGTTCCTGTGAGCTCTACACCAATACAGACCTGCATGCATGCTAAGATGCTCCCCTGAAACTCCTCCTCTGTCTTCCATGACTTTTCTTCCAAAGAAAGATACAGCATCTGGCCCATCAGACACAGGAGTTTTAGTCTTATACTGACAGAAAAACAATTTATCAGAAAACTCCAAGTATCTTGGGGCACATGCAGTGGAAAACCCAGCCCTGCCAGGTGCTGTGTACAAGATTCCTTCTGCTATTTAAATATAAGGAAAGAAAAGTGGCAGGAATTTGTCTTTACAACCTCTGTGGGCTAGAGAAAGACACCAGCCCTGCCAAAACCCAGAGATGCTGCTAGTGTCTTACTTACATCCATAAACTCCACGTTGGCTTTCGGACCAGTGGTCTCATTAAGGATCTTAATGGCCACAGGAATCTTTACTGTTTCTCCCTCAGGGACCCAGATTCCCTAGAAAAAGAAACAAACAAAAAAAAAGGTGACAGAGGTATCTAGCAAGACAACAATCAGAAAAAAACTTGTTTCAGAGTTACAGTTCTTTTTGACACATTCTGACATGTTATGCAGATCAGTCGTGAGATGCAGAACTGAGAATACACAAAGTTACCAAAAAAAAAACCAACAAAAAACACATAAAACTACTTCTTACATCAAAACTAAACTCTGATCTAAAATGAAACATTTTGTATCAGTGAACATCCCATTTTCTTGTCCAAAGCAGGGTTTCTAAAGAGCAATGGATGCACATTTTCTAGTGACTCAGATAAAATCCTGATACTGATTTGGATATAATTAAACAAAAATCAGGATTTTCTGTCTGGATTCTGATGCTCAAATTTTTTGCTATCAGTAACTGATTATCACCAGATTATAAAATCATGCAAGAACAGAACACCCTGAGAATAATATAATTAGAGTGAAACATTTAGGGACTGTTTGTCTAATTACTTGATACCTGAGAATCAAAAAACTTAGGTGTCTGAAAAGGAAATTTAACATTAAAATTCACAAACTATCAGGGTCTTGGGCTACTTTTCCATCATTCTTGACTATTGCTGTGTTCTTGTCAACCTCATGGCATCCATCTCTATCACTTTATTATCATCTAAGTATATTCAAACTCTTTATTCATAAATCTACTCCCATGACCTGGTCTGTGCTTCCTTCCTTTCTTCCCTTCTTTGAGGACAGATGCAGGTGCCCTGATCTACCACCTTGATTTGGTAGATTTGGAGGGTTAGGGAATTGGTTTGATTTTCCCACTAAGCCCTGCTTCATGGGCTCTGAGATCTGGATGTGTCCAACAGATCTTAAAAAAGAAATACTTTTTTAACAGAAGTACTTTCTCCATTGTGGGTTCCACTCTCACATCCCAGCTGTTAAAGAGTGACATAACTCATCTTTTCTATTTCAATGGAAGAAACTAGAAGTATTACAGTTTAGGTAATGCCATTGTTTTACCAGTTATTATTACTGTGGCAAGACCCATGTGGCATTTGTGAAATGAAAGACAGATTTTATCCATCTTTCCAAAAGCGTCCTGCTCTTGTGTAAGAACAGAAGGGCAAACCCTGGTGCTGCACCTTGCCAGCAGGACAGTCCAGCCTGTGTAGCCCTCTTGCACATAAAAATGGCTGGGGGGCACCAAAAAAATAGCATCTGCATGTCACCATTTGATCCTGGGGATGCATTCCCTGCAGGCAGTTCCAGCATCCTCTCTCTGCCAGGGCTCAGAACCCAGCCACGGGACAGGCTGCTTTGCTACAAGGCAGAACTTGACTGCTGCAGGGTTAAAAGAGGGGACTCAGGGCTGCCTGGGGAAGCCTCTCACCTTGTACACCGTTCCAAAGGCTCCAGAGCCCAGCACCTTGACTCTCTTCAGCTCTGTCTCCTTCAGGATGCGGAGTTGTGCTTGGTTGGGCGCCGTGCCGCTCGGGGTCAGGGGCTCCACGAGCTGCCGAGGAAAACACAACAGCCTCAAACACTGCTAAAGCCACCAGGAGTTTATCCTGACAGCAACCAGCCCAAGGAAATACTGCAGCAACACAGTGGTGGAGATCTATTCACCACTGCCCTGCAAAAACTCTTGGGATTTTTCATCTTCAAACGCAAACCGGCATCACCGCAAAACCAACACCCGATAAAGCAAGTCTTCACTCAAATGCAATGATTCCCACCAGAAACTGTGTGATGGAATTATGAACTGGAAATTGAATTGGTGTCACAGTAACACATCCAAGGACTTTTGATAATGGAGGCAGTATAAATATTTTCTACATGACAGAAATACAGCATTTATTATCAGTGTAGCACATCCCATTTTTGCCCATTTTAGTGCCTTTTAAGTTGGCCGTATTTCTTTTTAATGGCCTGGACTAAACGGCTCATCACATTCTTACTCTGTTTTGAGGAAGGGACAATTTTTCTGAACTCCTGTTTTACCACACAGGAGGACAGCTTTAGGGAGAAAACACCTTCGAGCAGACCACTAATTTATAACAACCACTAATTTACTGCAATTAAACAATTTGCTCAAGATGTCCCAAGAAACTTTGTAAATGAGCCACAATGGCACATTCAGTTAAAAATGCTCTTAGATCTCATACCATCTCTGCCAGGAAAAGAGTGCTCCTTTAAAAATAAATTAAAAATACACATGGAGGACAATACTCAATACAAGACATGAAAAACATTCTGTTCTTTCACAGGATGAGGAAAATAATTCAGGGCTCCTCCTACTCAAATTGGTTTGAAACCACTGCAGCATTTCAAAGCAGCCTGTTAACAAGGCTAAATGCCCCATGCTCTGTAATTTGAGAACTACTTCTATGGCTCTTTGGGCACCATGGACTAACTAATTAGTTGACCAGACTAATTAGTTTTGTTCAAGTAAAAATACTGGCAATTAATGGGTAAGGAAACAACAAAACCAAACAGCAACAAAGTTGAGTGATTTCTCTTTTCTCCTTCCCATTTTAGATGTTCAGTATTTACACCATGAAAGAAAGGGTTACTGTAAAAGAAAATTTCTGTATTTTCAGTTTGTGAAGCATGAAAAGAGGTTCTGTGCCACAGTCCCCCAGCACAGCAATGGCAGGGAGAGCTGGGGATGTATTTTGGGGGTCTAAAACCAGGATTGTGGAGTTTTATGGAGAATGATCTACAGAAAGACTAAGTCTTGTTACAGACTCCAGCTAGGAAGAGACTCCAGCTAAAGCTAATTGCTTTTATGTTTATTTCAGGATGCTCCTGATTTAATCTTCAGTTTCTCAGCCAAGACAGCAGCTTCCCCATGTGTTCAGTAGGAGGCCCTGGTCCCTCAGGACTATTGCCAGCCACAGCTTTTATCTGACCAAATGAAAAATGAAATCTGGACTTCAAAGCCAATGCAAGGAGAACCACCTGCCTAAAATAATTTATGCTTAAGTATGGGCTGATACAATGGCAAGATTTATTCATCTAAAGGCACTGAGTATTGTTAAGCTTTCTATACAGCTGAACAGTGTTTAGCAAGCAACACAAACTGGAAGGTACTTGTGCAAACAGACTGGGGATGCATAAACCATTTACTCCCAGGCTCTACAGTGGAGATGAGTGGGAGCAGAAGCCTTGGAGCAAAAGAGAAAACAGCACTGTTAATAATGCCTTATCAAAGAGTCACTAGCTAACAGCATTTCCCAGCTTTATTGTCTTACAAAGGGGCGCCCTAATTTAAAAATACCATCATTTGCAAAGTGTCTCAAGTATAGGACTGAGGAGATGGAGTAATCACCTTTGCAGTAGTTGATAGGTACACGTTTAATGTTATATTTAAATGTATTTCCTAGATTGCCCCCTTCACTAATGACACTTCAAAGAGCAGGATGGAGCCGTCACAGCACTCTGCTATGGATCTGCTACATTATTTTTATATTTTTTTGCCAGTAGAACTGTGAACTTCAATTGGTTAAGCTCTGTGAAGTATCTTGGCTTAATAAAATACGTGATTATTACTGATCACGCTACAGGCTTTGACAAAATCTGGACTACAAAGGCATTGTAGGCACTGGGAACAACAGCAAAGTCACAACACCTGCCCTAAAGCATGAAGTTTGTATCAGCTTGCTGAAGGAACTCACTTTAGCCTTAGAAGTCAACCTAAATAGGGCCAGAATGAAACCCTGTAATATTTAAGCATGAGAGCTGCTAAATGTACTGATGAACTGGGACAAAAGTTCAGTGGAGAGCAGGATGGGAATTGAAAAAAAATTGGAAAAATCTGGTGGGACATGCCTCCCAGTATTCATGGGGAACTTTTCCTGGTCTTCAGCAGCCATGAATCCCTACTTGTGCACAAAACTTGTGCAGCATCTTGAAATAACTTCGTTCTTTTCACCAGCTCAGTCTGCACAAGTAAGCAAAAGGATTTCTACAGGCCTGTCTGGCAACTGAAGACATGAACATCTCTAATATAGAAGCAGAAGAGCCCTACATATCTCCCCAAACAGCCTGTGGGGAGCAGCCTGGGCTCACCTCAGTCTCCAGGAACCTTCGCAGTGCTCTTTTCTTCTTGATGCTCTTGCGCCGAACGTACACAGCAAACGTCAAGCCCATGATGACGATGATGAAGAGGCCACCAATAACTCCAGCAGCAATCAGGGGGGTTCTAGCAACCAGAATCAGAGACTTTACTTTCACAGCTAGGGTGAGAGACCAAAGAATGCTTGGGTACATAAAGCACAGTCACGTGGAAAGCTCATTATGACCGGAATCCCAGCCCCAATGGGAAACCGGGGCAAAACCAATGACACAAGGTAGGAATTTGCTAGTTTTTAATCATTATACCAACTCTATTTTTGTTTCCAAACCCCCATGCATATGTGAGGAGTCGTGTGGACAAGGAAACACAGCATGCACTTTGATGGCAAATGCAAATCTGCAGTGGCAAAATGAGGACACGGGGATCTGCAGTTTCTCACAAGAGGTCTGCCTGCGCTGACTTTGGCTGCACCCATGTCAACTCATGGGCTCCTGCACTCAGGGGGAAACAAGCCAATGAAAAACTCCTAGACTGCCAACAGAGTGTGCCTTCCTGAGTATGAAATGAGAGGGAACTTCACAGGCAAGATTTGGAGATCACAGGCAAGGCAGAAATCAGGCTCCCTCCAGAGTAAAATTCAAAGCGGTACCTTAAATTAGAGTAAAATTCAAAGTGGTACCTTAAATTAGTCATTTTCACAGCATACCAACAACTTACCAACATGAACACACTCAGAGCATTTAACATCCTTCCAACAATGGCTGGACAGTTGCTGAAAAGATGGGTGAAAAGATGGGTAAAAACACAAGCATGACAACTGCAGTGTGATGGTGTTGAAACCATTGCCTGGGAAGCCCAGGAAATAGAATAACTGTTGTCAAGACTGTGGAAATGTCACTGCTGTGCACTAAAAGCCTCCCTCAGTTACATCTGAATGATGATGAAAGGTACATTGCAGCCTATTAATAAAAATATACACACAGCTACAGAAAATTTTAAAATCTCCCTCAAAAATACTAAATTATTTTATCCAACCCTTTATTCTTCTTTTCACAACCTTCCCTGAAGCAGTGCCATCTCACCTGGTATGGTGCATGAAGGTGTGCCTACATTACCTCTGAGAAAGCCTCCTGTTCCCACATCCAGTGTTTAAAGCACCACTACCACGTTTCCCCAGGGTAAACACATTAACACAAAGGCCTGTTGCAGTTCACAGACTTTATGATGGAAACTCTAAGCTTCCAAATGAAAGAAAGGGAATGTTGTTTGGCTGGGAAATGGGTTATGGTGTTTGGGGAACACAAATCCAGTACCTCCTCCTCCTCCAGGGTGTCCAGCCTTAAAACACATCGTCCTTTCTAACCCCAGTGGTTACTCTGTGATTTTGAGGGCAGAGCTTAAAGAATCTGGCATATCCAACCCAAACATGCTCCTCTTTGTTTCCATATCTTCCTACATTGCTGATGCAAGAAACTCTTTAATAGGCAATTATTAAAAACACTGGCCACCAAAAGCCTTCTGTGGAGCTTGTACTGCTTAATGCTCTTGAGCAGAGGAACCTCTTAAATCCATTTTTATGCTGTATGAACACTCATATGATTTTTTAACAAACACCACCAAACTGACTAAACAGGCAGGAGAACTCTCAGCTTTAAAGTGCATATTAATAACTAGCATAACAGTTGTCAAAGTAAGTAATTGGAGTTTTATAGTATTGTGTGCTCTAAAAGTAGTCCAAATAATATTTACATGATAGGCTATAATAAAGAAACAGTTTTAAAGGGGACATAATAAGTAATGAAGAAAATAAAATGAAGTTTGTAGCCCTTCTATTGTTATAGAGTACAAGGGGGGGTCCTAAATGGATCTTTATGATTCATCATGTGAACTCTCACTGACATTGAAAGAATATCCTCATTTTTACTAGGTAATTGAAAAAAAAAGGAAATAATTTTCAATGACTTCACCAAGCAAGCATTTCAGTTGTTAATGTGAAATATGCTATATTATACCTGAATTTTCAGGAGGTACCACCTAAACATGTTGTAAACCAAGCTTAAAAAGGGAGTGTGAAAGGGATAGCACAACGTGCAATAAAAGAACACATTTAAATGCTAAACAAACCGGTGAAATACAGAAAAAGCTGTATTTTCCACTCCAGTAGTGATCAATCACCAATCCCAAATCCACTACTCTTGCATCAAATCCTGTCAGTCACAAACATCCCAGCCTTGGATGTGGTCACACACCCAGCAGCTTCTCCTCTCTCTGCTGCTGAGCTAAGCCCCAGAGTCAACAGCCCTGTGGTTTATTTGCTCCAGGACCAGATGCCAAGTCTCTGCAGCCTAAGCTCCCTGTTATCACCTCACCACTGCTTTCAGCCACACATGGATTATTGCCTAAGCCCACTTTTCAGGGTGCCACCCCATCACTGGGGCTATTTTCACTCGTGCTTGTTGGGTTGACTTTGCTTTTTCTCTCTGTTCTGCCAATATCATCAGTTCTCCTGCCTCGGTTCTCTGCTTGTTTTCATGCTTGCAGAGCCTTACCTTTAACACCCTGATGAATTCCATTAATGCTAAATTAATGCTGGGCCATTGCTGGGGTTGTTCCACACAGATCCCTGCAAGGTGGCACTGACCAGAGCTGCTGCTGAAGTTCCAAAATCTTCCCCCATTTTGCCTTTTTTCAATCCAATCCCTTTTTGCATATGCACCTAACAAACTGTTTGGCTTCACAGGCAGCTGGACACACAAATCTCCTTTTCTCTAGTGGCATTAATGGTTTAATCCACTTACTTTTGTTACATTACTGTCCCACAGCCTCCTCCATCACTGCAATTCCTGACATTTGCCCCCCTCAGACTACTGCCCACTTAAAACTATTTCCATGAGCAATGCTGATGAAAAGACAAAAAATGCACTACCAAAAGCCCCCAGCATGTTAAGGTAACTTTTAAAAGCATGAAAAGGCTCTGAAAAGCTGAAGTCAAGCAAGGAGAGGTAGCTCCATGTCAGTCCTGCCTGTCCAGCATAATTAATGGCCAGCCAAAAGTCAACCCCAGATCACATTTCTTACAGCTCCACCACTAACCCACCAGCAGGAAACTCCTGATACAGGCACTGCTTTCCTTCACACGCTGGAAATCTACTCCAGAGGATGGAAACAATCTCTGCTAGGTGTTCCTGGATTTTCATGCTCATCAAAACAGGCTTAACAGTCCAAGAAACATGGCCCTGAATCATAGTTCATAGTTCATATAATTAATTTGCTATCCCACATCTCTCCCTCAACTGAGGACACAATACCCAATTAATAAGTGGAAAATGTATCAGCTGGGGAGGATGTGAGAGATAAAAAAAACCCCCACAATGTGAAAATCCTGCCTCTTAAACCAGAAACTGTGTGTCTGTGGCTAAAAGTTGAAAGAAAGATTCCGGTATCCCCTTAGGAGAGATGAATAATATATATGTATTTCTTCTTAAATGTGTACTGTTTTCACATTTAGAAACACGTAACACCCACTCCCCACTCATCAAAACTGACATTGAGTTCAAAGTTAGCATTGCAAGTTCCTTCTGGTAAATCCTTGTCACTGAGGCATTATTTTTTCCTGGTGGATGCCTCCCACATTCTGCATCCCTCACCCCTTCCATCAGTGGGGGTTTCAGCCAGCTTTGAAGCTGCCCTTTCAGAGATCTGATGGATTCTACTAATCCTGTAGTGATAATCTTAGTATTTAAAAGATACAAGATAAACAACCAGGCTGGGAAAGCAAATTTGTGGATGTTTCAACAGCCACGACGTCCAGAGTACCTGGTGTTCACCCCAGGGGTGGCAAGGATTCATCTGATGTTATTTACATCAAGACTGCTTTGTTTATACTCTTTTTCAAGAACAAGGCACCCTTCCCCCTCTCTCCTCCTAATCTGAGGGTGTTTGAATACTGATAAATGGCCCTATTGATGCACAGATTAGGAGTTTTTTATCATAGGTAAACACAAATTTTAACTCACAGCTGATCTCACAGTTACAAAATTACTATAAATCCCACATTTAATCCAGAGATGGGCAAAATGTCAACCAGCCACAGCTTTCCAATGTGTAAAATGACCTGAGGGTTGCAGTCTGTGTCTGGATCCACTCAGAAATTAAACATCCCTAAAGAGCAGACACAGCTTGCACTTTGGACAAACACTTGGACAAACACAGACCTGTTAACAAAACTGCTTTTTCCTTACCCACACTGATTCTTGTATCAATACCTGTAAAGGTATGTCCTACTCACACCTTTTTTTTTTTTTTATGAATGTAGGAGTCCCCATTTCACACAGCAAAGTAAATGAGGATGAAGAAAAATATATCAAGTATAGCTTTGAAAATTACTACAGCTTAACATTCTACACATTAATAAGTATTGATTAAAAATCTATGACATTTTTATCACCACACACAGTGCACAATGGATTTCTTTAAAACTGGTTTTAAATCTGAATGGCATAATTTAGAAGTACCACTCTGTTAGGTTTTCACTGTATATTACAAAGAACTCTCAATTTTAACTCCCTGTTAATACATTTGACTAGAAATAACTACTGAAATCTCTGGGAATCCAGCATCAATATCAAGGCTTTTTATGGGCTTCTCCTCCTCTTAAACTTAAAAGTCCCAATAAAATCTCTTGCACCTTGCTGTCCTTTTTTTAGGCTGAGATTTTTCTTGTCTGCCTCAACTTAAAAAAGGACTGCTATTGTTAAGAGCTTGCAGAGTGGCCTGTGCTTTAAATAAACAGATTAATAAGCATTCTTTTTAAGATATACCAAGTCAGGCCCCATATAATGTAGATTATCTGTGACACAAAGCCAGTTAAACCCACTAGGCTGGACTCACAGGTGAAGCCAGTTCAGCAAGCAAAAGAGCAATCTGCTTTATAAAGTTGTCATATTTCCCATTTTCCTTGGAAACAATAATATTTTGCTTTAAATAAAGGAGGCTAGAGCTGTAATGACTGCTCTGAAACCAAAACTATCAGCATTAGCTCAAGGAGCTTCTCTGTGCATAAAGAATTCCTGTTAGAAGCAATCAGCTTAGCCTGCTTCTCTACAGCCAGTGGCAGTCAGCTGGCT